CTGTGGAGGAAACTGGTCCTTGTGTCTGTGCTAAATAATTTGTAAGACACTGCTATAATAATAATAATAATAATAATAATAATATTTTTTCCTCTCTCCATAGCTTCAGAGTTTATAGAACATGCTCACTAAACTAAACTTCTCCCTTGCTCATTTGAGCTCTGTAGTCACCATTTTATCTTAATAAGGGAAAAGAGAAACTAGCAAAATAAATTGTGAGGTTGTGGCAAACCTCGGACCTTCAGTATTGCTTTTTTAAAATTAATTACTGATTCTTTTTAATATTATTTCTGTAGATTAAAGTGTGTGAACGAGCTAGTCTGTGGTTATACATAGGCCAAGCCACAGAATATCGGCAGATTCAGAGGAACCTCTGCAAAGACAGGTCCTGTCTACAGCCCCTCACTGCAGAGGAGCTGGAGGAGGTGGAGGAGGTGGAGGAGGTGGAGGGGGCAGCCTGAAGGGTCACATGACTCAGTCCTCTTAGACACTGCCGATTGGACCAAACTGGAGCCTGTGACCATGACCTTGGCCAATCATATTGTCTTCTCTATTTTAGGGAGGAGTTTAGGAAAGTTTGTTGATGAAAGAAATGGGGGTGGGTAGGGGTGGGAGGGGAGGAGAGAGAGAAAGAGAGAGAAGGAACTGGAGAATTCCGTCTGCCTGGAGCCTCCGCTAAGCCTGGAGGGGAGTACTGAAGCATAGTAACCTCCGCCTTGGGTAAAAACGGCTTATTTAAAATCAGCCCTGCTATTCTGGCTTCTTTAAACGTTTGCTTGCTTAAATAATAGGGAAAGATAAAACCATTCCCATTTCAGAGAGGCCATAAACTATGCCCCAGACGGAGCTGTCAGTGCTGGAGCCAGGCCAGGCATTGAGATACAGTCTCACGGCCTGTCCCAGCACACAGGCCTTTCTCAGAAGGCCCGGACGTCTCATTCCAAAGCTGGAAAACAAAGAACCGAAAAGCATGTCAGTAGGAAAGACTTCCACTGTATTGGGCCCCAGAATTTGAGAAGCAAGATTTCCTGTGGGCCTGCTATCACTAACCACATAAAAAGGACTCCACATAAAGTCGGCTTATTGATCACGGAGTCTTCTGATTTACAACGTAACACCATCTGTCAGCTGGATCTAGAATCAGGGACACTGGAATCAGCCAGTCCTCAGTCCGAGGTACCCCCACCGTGTCATGGATGCATGAAGCTGCCCAAGACCAATCTCTCCTCTGAGGTTGTTTCCTCGTGTATGAAATGGGGCTGGGAAAATCTCCTTCATGGGGCTGTTATAGGAAGGTCATCATGGATGTACAACCAGTTTCTGAAATATTCGAGGCTCAGAACATGGAAACCATCATCTTTGCTGGTGTCCTCCCTCACTTCCCTCCAGCTACCTGCACCCTCACCCTGACCTCCACACTCTGTCCAGGATCAGCGCTGGCATCTGGGGTGGGATGACCCCTGATTTATGCTTTTTATAATATGTATTTTTATAACATCACCCACTCTGGTCCCAGCAACGTCCTGTAGGGAAAGGAAGCCACGCTTCTTGTCTGGTTCTGGGTCTGAGCCCCTGGGCTCGTCTCCTGAACCAGGAGGCCATGAGGCATGTGCGGCCGGAGCAGGTGTGGCCCCTGTGCCCGCTCGGGCACCTTCGCTCACTGCTCAGGCTGCTGTGGGACCCACAAGGCGGGAGGCGGTTTCAGAGCCAGCAACCCACGTGGGGTTCTACTTTCAAGGATCTTTCTTCTTCCTGTGAGTCACACCCAATCAATCTTTATTCTTTACTGCTCGGGGAAGTTGTTCTCATATTCTTTCACGACAAAACCCTTCTGACTCTCAGGACTCTAAGAACAGCCAGTTTCTTTCTCCCCGGCTTTTATTCTACCAGGGCGTTGGAAAGTCATTAGTAACCGAGACACAATCAGAACAATGGGACAGCCTGTGCGGTGAAATAGTTAATTAATATAGAATTTTAATTCAAGTCTTCCCTGCAAAGACAAGGCTGCACCAGCAAAGCTTGAATTCATCACCAGAGCTTGCGTTAGGCGGATCCATAAAAACATTTCTGCCACAAGCAAACTCAAAAGTAAGGAGACATGTGTTTGGGGTCATTTCTCGCGTGTCTGGGTAGTGCCGTAGTTTCCAGAATAAATAAATCGGGAGCATGGCAGAAATTTAATATCAATATTTTGATTTCCTTTTTTTTTAAGTCTGGATTTAAACGCTTGGTATAAAGCAGACTTTTAATTTCCCATTTTTCAAAGGCAATATTGAAAGGTCACTTTTGAGCTTTTAAAGTTCAGAGATGACTCATCGCACCACCACTGTCTCCCAGGCTTCAAAATCAAATTTCCGGCCATGATGGTGCCTCTTGGCTTGGCAAACACGTACCCTCGCTGTGTGCTGGGATGGAGATTATTTTTATTGCTGGTTTCCACGTTTGAGGTAGGAGATCTTCAGAATAAAGAAAAAGAGCACGGCATGCTTTAATGAAATACAGTTTGCTTCCTCACAAAATGCCTGATGCAGATTCATAAAAGATCTGGAAGGTTCTAAGCTTCAGTACGCTCAGATTTACCTTAACCAAGGTTGGTTTTGTTTGTTTGTTTGTTTTTAATCTTTTTACCGTTTCCTTATTAGTAAGCATGACTGCGAGCTGGTAACTTTGTTCCAGAGCCACCAGTGACTGGGGCTGTCAGGCTAGACCTCGCTCTCTCACGATCGAAAGCTGTGCCCACGTCTGTACCCACGTCTGTGCGAACGGAATGGCTGAGCACTGGGCGGAGAAGCCCGTATGGTGTCAGGGCCGGAGCGGAAAGACGCCCCAGACAGAGGATGCTTCCCGGGGAAATGCCAAGGGCCGCCCTCCGTCTGGTTCCCGCTGGCCCCGCGGACCTGGCCTGGCCTGGGCTCGGCGCTGGATAAAGGGTCTGGGATGAGATGCTTAGGCCAGAATCTTTGAGGCATGACAGTGAATTCTACCTTTACCAACAACTAGTCTGAAAATCTCAGCTTAGTCTCAGAATTCACTTTTAATTAATACATATTTAGTGAAACTTGATAACCACCAATCAGCACCTGCCAAATACCCTAAGCCCTGATTCCTAAGTCCCTAGGTCTCTAATCATAGGCCTTACATGAAACCACCAATCAGAGTGTGCTGAGTGCCATGAGACCCGTCCCCTATCCTTCCCTTAAAAAGGACATGAACCCCAGCCCTCGCTCTCTTCTGCTCTCTCTCTGGAAGCAGCCGGCAGTGGTACTCTTCTCTTCAATAAAGCCTGTGCCCTGGCATCCCGGTCTCTGGCCTTCTCTGTTTCATCTTTTAAAACTTACTATGGCCTTCAAGGCCATCTAATTTCAAATTTGCCCCAACGAGCACTGTGCTCACACCTGCCCTCATTTCCCCCGGCAGGAAGGTAATGTCTCCAACCATGGGCCAGAACCAAACCCAGAAGGAGGATGAAGGCCTTGCTCCTCGCACCCTGAAGCCTCCGGAACCTCCTCCTCCACCCCAAGGTCATTAGTTCTATTCTCTAAAATCTCCAAATATTGCTATTACTGGTTTTCTTCATCATGCTTCAAAAAACCTACTTTTCCTAAACTTTAATAGAATTCTTCTATTCAGGAAATCAGGAACTGTTTGTGTCCTGAGGAAAGGGATAATGTTTGGGCTGTGTGCTGTGAGCACAGGAGGACAGGCCCACACTGAGTCCCTGAGGCCAAACCCTGCACCCAGGCTGAGCCCACAGTGCCCGGCCTTCTAGAAACTGGATTTTCACCGGAGATCCCGACTCCTGTGACCCTGACTGGCGTTAATGAGATCCTCGGCCTGCCAGACCCTGCCGGTCCCCAGAGGAGAGCGACCTTGCAGGGCCAGCCTGCCATGTGCCTGGCCGTCCTGGTCCCCGCTCCCTTCTGCCCAGGAAAGCCTTTGGTTTGTAAAGATCCCCCGAGGAACCTCTGCCAAATGGGATGCCGCCGGATCCACAGGTTGTTCGATAAAGTCAGTGAGATCTTGAAGATGTATTCAGTTGGATTTTGTGTTTTAAGAGCATGGCCATTAATTCCGCCTAAGTTATTATTTATTGGTTTGTCAGGAACATCACTGGTTTCCAAGAACAGACCCTGGATGGAAAATCACCAAGCACATCAGGAGAAAGGCATGGAAAGGTCCTGGCTGACTTTTCCGAAAACACCGAGGCCAGCCCTGATGCCAAGGGAGCCGCTGGCTGCGGTGGCAATGTCTGGGCCTCCCTGCTGCCCCCCCTAACCCTCCCCCCTCCCCCGCCAGGGGGTCCGGAAGGAAAGCCACCAGGCAGGTGATGTGGAAGCCAGAGACCAGGAGCAGGGCATCCTGGGAAGTGTGTGAACTAGCCAGGCATCAGCACCACTTAGAAAAGCAGTTTCTGCTCCATTTAACTGTTACTTCAGCAGTTCGTGGTCCTGTTTGGATGGACTTGGAATGGGCTGGAGGCAGGGGGTGCGCACTCTCTTCCTCTCACATTGAACAGCCTGCTCCCTGGACCCAGGGCTTCACCCCCAGACAAGCCCAGCAGACAGAGCTGCGTCCTGGGCTGTGCTTCCCGCCTGGAGCCTGGAGCTGGGGGACCCGGCCTGGGGGTGCGGGCCCGTGGCCCTGTCCCTGTCTGTCCGTGGTAGGGGCCTAGACAGTGACAGGCAGTGAAGTCCCCTGGGCACTTGGTGAGGGCAGAGCCCAGGCTGGGCAGGGAGGCTGCCGGCGGGGTGGTCAGCCCGCGGTGGGCAGCGCTTGGGTCCGAGCCTGAGCCTCGGGGCCAATCAGCGCGCAGCGGCCCGCCCGCCCCGGGCAGCGGAGTGGGCCAGGCCTGCTGGAGGAGGGGGCCGGGCCGGCGGGAGGAGGGCCACTGGGGGCAGCGGAGGGGGCCGGGCCGGCGGGAGGAGGGGTCAGGCCGGCGGGAGGAGGGCCGCTGGGGGCAGCGGAGGGGGCCGGGCCGGCGGGAGGAGGGGCGCCGGGGATCTGGGACCGGAGCGGGATCGGAGGGCGGGAGGCGGGGATTGGGAAGCTCCGTTTCCTCCGCCCGCCGTCCCCTCCGCCGCCCCCGCCGCCCTCGCCGCCGGGCCCGCGGGGAGAAGGATGCTGGGCATGTACGTGCCGGACCGCTTCTCGCTCCGGGCGTCCCGCGTGCAGGACGGGATGGGGCTCTTCACGGCCCGCAGGGTCGCCAAGGTGGGTGCCCGCCTCCTGCCCTCTGGGGCCTCCCAGGGGGGCCTCCCGGGGCTCCCCGGGGCCGGTCCCGGGAGGAGGGGCTCCGGCTCCGGGCGGCCTGGCCCGTCGGCCTGGGCAGCGCCACGTCAGCAGCCCCCCTGCCCGGTGGGGGCACCGCTCGGCGGGACGTCCGGCTTCCCCGCAGGAAGTGCCTGCGCCGTCCCCGCCCGCTCCCCCGCGGGGGGGGGGGGGGTCCCGGTGCGGCCCGCCCCGCCTCCCCCCTCCCTCCTCCCTCCTCCTTCCTCCTTCCTCCCTCCTCCCTCCTCTCTCCTCCCTCCACCCTCCTTCCCCTGGCTCCATCCGCCCCGTGGCCCACGTGGCCGGCGTAGCAGGGACTCAGGGTGCCCGGGGGACCAGCTTGGGTGCTGGGTGCTGGGTGCTGGGAGCCCAGGGAACCAGCCTGGGGTGCTGGGTGCTGGGTGTTGGGTGCTGAGAGCCCGTGGGACCAGCCTGGGTGCTGGGTGCTGTGTGCTGAGAACCCAGGCCCAGGAGGAGAGGGGACTGCAAACTCCAGACCTCTGGGTTTGCCACCTTGTGTCCTCGCGGTTTCTGGGGATCCCTAAGGTCTGGACTCCCAAGGCAGGGGGGTGCCCGGCCCGCACCCGGGAGGAACTCCCCGCCTCCCCCTCCCCCCCTGAGAGCAGGTTCATCCCCAGTGAGACCTGCAGGAACAGCTGAGTCCAGAGCTCTGGTCCTTCCAGATGGTTCCCTGCCAGCTTCCCAGCACCCCCACTCCGCCCTGGACCCCCAGTCCCTCCCCCGAACAGATAGGGTTAGAGATGGAGGTGTGGCAGGAGCAGGCTGGCGCCGTGAGGGATGCTGTCAGGCGGGTTACGGACGGTCAGGGGGTCCGCACTGGGCAGACGCCAGGAGGCATCTCAGCCAGAGATCTCCCCGCCCTCACGAAGAGCAGGGGCAGGAGGGGACCCCTCAGAAGGCGCCCCTGATCCCTTTGCTGCCCCAGGGCAGGCTGGATGGGAGGAGCCCGTGTCCACGCTCAGGTGGGAGTTTGAGGACTGCCCAGAGGCCCCAGGAGAGAGCCTGCCCTGGTGGGAGGGCAGCTGCACAGATGCTCTTGCCAAATGGATGAAGGTGAAACCAGCATTCTCTCAAAGCAGAGGTTGAAATTCTGCCTTAATTCTTCCTCTCAGACATAAAAATTCCCAAATCTGAAAGATCTCAGGCCCAAATGTGAATATTCATACATTATTTTGTTTAACGTTACTAAACATGATATACTAAAAAGTTGCACAAATATTAAAAATGTTACATAATTTCTTTTTTTTTGGGGGGGGGGCTTATATTATTTAGGCTTTTAGAAATAGCTGGCCCTGGCTGCTTTGGCTCAGTGCATAGAGCATCGGCCTGTGGACTGAGGGTCCTGGGTCACGGGCGTGTACCTCCCTTGCAAGCTCCATTCCCAGGGTGTGTGAGAGGCAACCCAACTCACCACTTTCTTTCTCTCTGTCTTTCTCTCTGAGCCGCCCTCTCCCTTCCACTCCCTGAAAAATCAATGGAAAATATCCTGGGAGAGGGTAACAACCACAAAAGAAATAGTTGGTAAAAAAGAAAAATAAATAAATAAATAAAGAAGTAGCTGGTCAATGTATTTTATTTTGATGTATTTGATAATTCCAACTTATTTCTCCACGTAGCTGATTATTGGGATGTTTTTATTGTTTGGGGTCACAGCATGAAAAGCTTCCAAAGTCATCAGGTTCCCGCCTTTGACTCTTACAATGCTAAGGACACACTTCTGTCTTCCTGGTCCCTGTGACTTCAGCATGTAAAACAGACCTCCATCCAGTCACACCTGGAATGCTTACCTGCCATTCAGGTGAGTGTGCAGGTGTTTTCAGTAAATCCAGGTGACATCCTGTGTGTGGCACAGATTCATAACGGTCATGACAGGGCCAGGTGGCAGGGAGGACTGAGGCGAGGGACAGCCCCCGCTCCCGTGCCTTCCACAGGCTGAGGCGGGGTTGAAGCCGGCGTCAGATCTGAGGCGTGTGGTAAGGTCCACGCTGAGTGTCCACGTCTTCTCCCTGTTTGCATGCAGGTTCTGGATTTCCCGGTGGTTCCCAATCCAGGCCTGACTCTGGCTGTGAAACCAGGGGTCTGAGAAGAGAGGATGCAGCAGTTAAACTAAGGGCCTTCTGAAAGTTCTCCTGTTCTCTCACCAGGCTTTGGAGTAGCTCACTTGGATGCATATGTTTCGTAGAATACCTCTGTTGTAGGGAATGATCTCAGTGCAGCCGTGTGTTGATTTCACACTCAAGAGAATCTAAACCCGTCCTGTTCTGAGATTCTTGCTGGAGACCTGGAATTCCCTCACCAAGGGGACCCCTGAGTCCTGCTCTGCACCCACCTTTCTGTGCAGCGTGTCCTAGAGTGGGGTCCCTGCAGAGAATCCGAAGGCAAGCCTCGCCCTCCGCCCTAGGTGTCTCCTTGGGGAGGATCTGTTTTGCAGGCCTGCCGAGGGGCGGAACCTGCACAGGAGGAGGGCTCCCTTCCCTTTGATGCCTTCATGGGATTGCATGAGGAGGGTCCTTAGGTAGCCATTTCCGTGAGCCATGACTGCTCTTGGAGAAGCGAACAGGGTGAGAGTCTGTGGGAGCCTGGGCTGGAGCTGGGCTGCGGAGCCCGCACACTGACGCAGTGCTGCTTCTGTGCTCAGACCAAACACCTGCTCCGACACCTAGAACGTGGCTTTCTTTCCCCGAAAGTGAGGAGAGTAAGTCCGTTGTATCGTCCGGCCTTTCTCACTTCACAGTACCCGGTGGCAGTCCCTCAAGTCCTCGTTTCTGCCTGAATGTGTTTCTGTGCCATGGTTTGCGTTTGCTCAGGCCTTGTACCCCCCCTCCCCCCCCCCCGGCCCCCCGGCCCCCCGGATGGGCACCCGCCGCTGGGGACATACCGGCCGCTGAGGACATGCCGGCTGGCGAACAGACAGAGATGGGCTGCGTGGGCCTGTGTCCTGGGAGGCGGGCAGAGGCAGCGTCAGGTGGATTTGTCATCGGTGTGATCACGTGATGCTATCGGGGCGGTGGGGAAAGGTGCGGCGGAGCTGGGTGCAGGTGACTTGGCAGAGAGTGTGGGTGTCCAGGGTGGGCGTCCTATAAACGGGGTCCAGCCTGCGCTCCCCAAGGAGGTAGTGAGACCTGAGCCATTTCCATAAGCCAAGGACGGAGGAGCCAGACTTGTTTCCAGGCGCAGCGCCCGCGAGGCAGCAGCCGGAGCGAGGACCTGGGATGGATGGGGTTTGCCTGCTGTGTCCAGACAAGGAGGCCGTGAGGCCGTGACGGGTGAGCCAGGGGCCGCGCCCAGGGCAGGAGGCCGAGAGTCGGTGAGGGGAAGCGTGTGAGCCCGGGAGCCACATCTCAGACCTTCCAGGCCCCGGCACAGACACTGGCTTTACTGGAGTGACATGGGAGCAGCTGCAGGCTCGGAGCCAGGAGTGACAGGCGCCGAGCTCATCAAGGGTCACTCGTCTGCTGCTGGGAATCCTGGGGCCCGGCAGGCGTGTCACCGGGGAGACCGGCCAGGGTTCCTGCAGCCGTGCATGTGGGAGGCGTGGCTGAGACAGCCGTGCACGTGGGAGGCGTGGCTGAGACAGCCGTGCACGTGGGAGGCGTGGCTGAGACAGCCGTGCACGTGGGAGGCGTGTCTGAGACAGCCGTCCACGTGGGAAGCGGTGGCTGAGACAGCCGTGCAGGTGGGAGGCGTGGCTGAGACAGCCGTGCAGGTGGGAGGCGTAGCTGAGACAGCCGTGCAGGTGGGAGGCGTGGCTGAGACAGCCGTGCAGGTGGGAGGCGTGGCTGAGACAGCCGTGCACGTGGGAGGCGTGGCTGAGAGCCGTGCAGGTGGGAGGCGTGGCTGAGACAGCCGTGCACGTGGGAGGCGTGGCTGAGAGCCGTGCACGTGGGAGGCGTGTCTGAGACAGCCGTCCACGTGGGAGGCGTGGCTGAGACAGCCGTGCAGGTGGGAGGCATGGCTGAGACAGCGGTGCACGTGGGAGGTGTGGCTGAGACATAGACGTGGCCGTGCCCGGAGACGGCGGTGACGAACATGCTGCTGGGACACGGGTGAGGGAAGAGGATGGTCACGGGCAGTAAGGACATTAGCTGGAGAAATGCGAAGGGGTGGAGTTCCCAGAGCCTTCATCCGGCTCCTGGAGGGAGACCCTTGCACCGGTTCTGGGCCAGAACCGAGGCGTCCCCTTCCCCAGCCGCCCGTCCGTCCGTGACGGGAGCGGCTGTCACTCAGGAGAAGCAGGTGGTCTGGGTTGGGTCAGGGAAACGGAGCTGCAGGCAGGTCCCCGTATTCGCAGCATCTCCTTCCCCACGTCTCCTGCTATGCCGCTCATGTCATACCCGTTTCATACATGTCACACTCGTTTCATACGTGATGCATTTCTTTTTAAAAAAACATTTTATTAATTTTTTACAGAGAGGAAAAGAGAGGGATAGAGAGCTAGAAACATCAATGAGAGAGAAACATCCATCAGCTGCCTCCTGCACACCCCCTACCTGGGATGTGCCCGCAACCAAGGTACATGCCTTTGACTGGAATCGAACCTTTCCAATCTCAGGCGATGCTCTATCCATGAGCCAAACTGGTTTCAGCCAGACATGTTTCTTATCTGCGAGCCACTTCAGAGCAGATCACACACGTGGGGACCGCTTATTCCTCATATTCCAGCTCCAGTGCCCTCTCCTGAATGGCTCTGAGGCTGTTTTCACGCCACAGAAGGAACAGCCGTTTCCTGGTGCCCTCTCACGCCAGCCCCCACGCAGAGGACTCAGGTCACGTCCAGAATGTGCACACCGGGACCCTCACGGACCTCCCGCCCACGTGGCTGTGCCTGTTGCTCTCCTCACAGCCTCCCATTGCCCTCTGTGCTGGGTCGCAGGGCCTTAGCCCAGAGGCCAGCTAGTTCCTCAGGCACAGGGTCTGGTTGC